TCAATCAGCCGCACCATTTATCTGCATATAGTTGTCGCGTAAAAATATATATTACTCCACATACGAGAGTAGATACTTCTCATTGTCATATAGCTCTATATATTCGCATGTACAAAAATCTATTTAAAATACAACATTTATAGCACATAGATATAATAAATCATCGTAAAGACGCAGAAATTATCGTAATGTTAAATCGATTTCGGGAATCGCATAAAGATAAGTGATCGCTTGAGAGAGCCGATAATTACGACGTATCGTATACGTGGAAATGCGTTATGAGCAATGCGTTATGAGCAATGCGCATTAGTCGAGGCAAGAGATGAAGACGCGGTCGGAGAAGGCGCCCGATGAGTCAGCGCGCGGTGCTTAGTATTCTAGGCCGAAAATAATCTACTTCGTGTACCACAAAGCGCTGCTCTGTAAGCTCAAAATGCGTGCTCGTGTCAGCTCGCGGGAGGCATTGTGTCCATTAAAACGGCAGATTAGTCATGCTAACTCAAACCAATTTTTGTAACTGTACTGAAATCGTAAGATATTTTTTTTTTATCACCAGTCGATTGCTGAATATTGCAAATTAGATTTGTCATACATATTTGTAAATTCATAAATACAGTATAATAATGTTACATATAATACACGTTTTGTAACATTGCACGTGTAGCATGATTACTATATCGTAGAGTTATGTAATATTACAAAAGCAATTTTTTGGTTTTATCAATATTTATGTTATTCTGCATTTCCATCGCATGGAAATAGCGTAATTTTAACAAGATCGTACAGAATTGCAATTCGCAAGCCGTATAAGGCATAAAACATAGACAATTCTTGCACTAATGCTCCTGGCAATGTGCCTTCAACGCGACAGAGACTGGTCTCGCATAAGCAGCCAGTTTGGTGCCACAGCCTCCTTGCGATCTTTTTTCGGCACCTATTCTGAGAATCTGCACGAGTGTGCATTTAAACAAAAGTTTTGCTCTTTCTACTTATTTACTAAGTTGAAACGGAATTATCCTGTACATATTATTATGTACGGTATCATTTTTACTTAGTAATTTGAAGATTGAAGAGAGAGATGCATTTCAAATGATTTCAAATATGAAGAGTGATTTATAACAAATTACACTGTGTACGATAAAAAATTTTTAATTTTTCTATTCAATGGATTATCTTTTCTTGAAATAACTTTGCACTGACTGATAAATCCAAGTTATATGGACTGCGCTTACACATTTCCGTTTATTTCTAAGAAAAAAAAAGATAGAAACAAATCAAATTACTTACTTTGAACATTTTTCTTCGTCTTCTGAACCACCTTATCTAATCCAGCCATGTTATTTGGAATTTCCCACGATGTATCAGAGGAACTCGGTAAATCCCAAGCATGCTGCAGCATGGAAATGAGAGAATCAATGTATGAATGACTATATTATAACATTACAGACCTAACGATATAAACAAGGATAGTACACTCGAAAAGAAAGAACTGTTTGTGGCAGAAATTGACAAAATAAAAATATAGAAAATAAATGAATTGAAAATTGAAATTACGCAAGATACACTTTATTGAGAAAAATACTAACCGGATCGCACTCCACATGCAACGGAGCGAGATTATAGTTTTTCTGTTGCAATGCGACGAACTTGTCGTTGCATGTCTTCGGTTGTACTGTTGTACTTTGCGAGATCGGCGATTGAGCGTGTTCTGAACTGTCCATAGGAAAATGGTTATTCAATACCGAACACTCGTCAGGTACTTGTTGAAATCCTAAATTATTTTGCTCAAGTTGTGATGATTTTTCTTCATTGGAACATTCGTTAGTTTTTCCTACTTGCCGCTTAGGAGTTGTAATAGTGCCGTTCGCAACAGAGCCGTTCATCAGAGAATCTAACGTACTGGCTATATCCAGCGTATCTGCTATTTCATTCTCGTCTACCTCATCAGCTCCGCTACCTGTAATGTGACACACGTTTGTGTTTATATCTATATATTATTGAAACGAGTGTCAGTCTATACTTGTGTTTCTAACAATAAAGTATGCGCATATCATTACGAATTAAATTACACGTACTTAGGGAATATTCAACAGGTTCTAAATGGTGACTGAAAAATTCTGACAGTTCAGTCATTATGCTTACTACTTCGTCCATAGGAGGTCTCTTTTCAGGTGCTTTTTGCCAACATCTGTCGAAAAAAAGCAAAGTTAGATTTGGGCATAGCAAAAAGATCTTTTACAATATAACACATATATATACATATTTTTCATAATTATATTATTTTTAAACAAATTACTCAATACTAGAAATTTAGAATATTTTGCATACAATTATCAATATAAATTTTGACTTAATAGGCTAAATATATTAACAAAATACATATTAACTATGCTGTTATTTCACATAGATTTCTTACCTAGTCAGAAGATCCTCAATTGGTTGTGGACATCCTTCTATTAAAGGAGGCCTTTGTCCTACATGAACAGCCCACATTATTCTATAGGCTGAAGCTCCAATATCATCAAAGGGCTTTTTACGTGTCAAAACCTCCCACAAAATGATACCCCAACTAAATACGTCGCACTTCTCTGTATACTTGGATCCTTCGAACACTTCTGGTGCCATCCACGCAGCTGAGCCTTTATTATTTGTCATATATGTATTTAAGTCGCAGGCTGTACCAAAGTCACAAATCTTAAGAATTTGTCCACCCATAACTAATAACAAATTCGGTGGCTTTAGGTCTCTGGGGAAAAAAAATCAAATTGTTTGAAATGCACAAAGATATTAGCAGAAGTGCATTGATATCTTCTTTCTACCTGTGTATCAATGGCCTTGGTTTCATATTATGAAGATGCGCAACACCACGCGCACATTGGAGAGTCCAACTCATGGCATGACTAGTAGTGTAATGTGGTTGAGGATTGCAATGCAGTACTACGCACATAAATACGAAATCTTAAATGACAAATTTACTTCGTCTAATCAAAAGAAATCGATAGATTTCTCATTAGACATTACCGTTATACAATGAGCCACCTTCCGCATATTCCATTACCAAGCATACCGGATTCTTAGTACATGCACCATATAGTTTAACAATATTGGGATGGGCGACTCTGGATAACTGCCTAACTTCCACAGTAAAGGCTTTTCTTTCTCCTTCCGAATTTATATGTTTCACAGCGACGTCCTGTCCTCTCCATTTTCCTTTCCACACAACTCCGAAGGAACCTTTGCCTACTACCTACATGATCAAACAAAGTTTGAGAATAAATCTTTAACAATATGTTTCGCCAGATGTTCTGACAATACAGCAAGAGTGTTAAAAACGAGTTATCTAATAGCACGCGCTTTTCAAACGTATATTTTCTTATAAACGAATAATCGTTTCCTCTCGTATGAGGTTATCCCTCTGATACATTAAAGGTTGATACATCAAAACAATAGATATAAACTTGTTCCAGTTGTGACAATCGAATTACATCGAACGTTAAGAGATACTTGGGGAATATTTACGGAGCACAAAGCATCACACGACACAACACGATTAAGAGGAATCGATGAGTGTCGAGAGAACTACCTGCTCTGTTTCAATTTCATTATAATCGATTTCCTCAACGAACTGCTGCTGATGGCCGGTTAACTCTTTGCTCGCCATCGCACACAGTCCACATCACATCATTTTCAGAGTACATTTAATCAAAATTGCGAGTCCGCACGCGAGTGTGTTTACTCAAACTGGCTTCAAACAACCTCGCAAATCGCCATTTTCCGTATCAGGCCGAACTTCGGCCGCCGAAGTTGATGGGTGCACGGTTGATGGAACGAGTGCAGCGCCATTCATATGAAATTCTAACTAACAGGAACTATAAAGTCACATTCGTTTACCAGCTGCAGAAAAATCGATAAGAAACCGACCGGCTTCTCTCTGCTACATTTCAATTGCGACGTGTGGTGGAGCTCACAGCGCGATTCAAGATTCAAATTACAAACACAAGTCTTATACAATGCCACATAGCGGACATTGTCAAAATAGTATTGAAAAAGTTTCCAAAAATTCGTGAGACGCTGAAGTGAGGAAATTCGACATTATAAGGACATTTCGAGAAAGGTACGTCCCATGTTTGTCAAGTTTGAATTTTATCTCGGAATATGATAGAAAGAGAGAGAGAGAGAGCGAAAGAGATTGTTCTAAATATATAATATATAATTTAAATGCGCTTATTAACAAAGAGGTTAGGAAATGAAACATTTACTCGTAAATTGTCAACTATATTCTTCTTACTTATTTGTAATTAATTGTCTAAGAATTGTCTAAGGATGCAAGATTTTTCGAAAACAATTAACATTTAGACTGCACATCACTCATATATGAATGACGCGTGATTTTTCGTAGGAATTGTCACCCATAAATGAGTGATGGTTTTAATAACTTAAGTAAGAATTTTATTCATTATTTACAGTGACATCGAATAAGAACAATAAAATTATTTGTATACAGTTGCGTGCGTTGCATTTTTTTACTTTGGGCTCGCGTTCAAGATTAACTGTGCAGTCTAAATCTTAATTAATCGAAAACGACAACTCAGTGTCGATGAAAAAAATGTCGCATTGTCGGCAATACTTTCGCGGAGCGTCCGCGTTATTCGTAATGCATAATTCTTGATGTCTTGTTCTGCGCGACGCGAATGTTCACATGCGAATGTGGCAATGCGCGCGTCATAGAAGGAAAGCGAGAAAACGGCTTTCGGCTCGAAGAGCCGGGACTGAATTTAACTTGCGCGCGCGTGTAATTGTGAGTTAAGGATGCGATTGCTCGCTATTGGGCTAGAACACGTTGCCTGGCCTTTACGCTGACCCGTGCTTTCACCCGGTAGCGTCTCTCAATTCGCCCCTCGTTCGTCCTCGTAGTCCTGTCTCGGATTCGTCCCCCGCTGGTCACCTACTTAGCGAGTTGTGACGTAATATATGAACGTTCGCAAATAACACCAAATTGTCTCATTGTATGATCCCTTCTACGGCATCCTGCAACTCTCGGACGTGCTGTTCATCTCGCGTGTTTTTCGAGAGGAAAAAGATTCTTTGTGTCACAATAGATTACATTGCAAATCTCTCGAGCTAAATTTTGTTTATAATATTTAAACATTTTGCCAGGAATTATATTTCTCTTATCTTCTCTTATAAAAATATTAGAGGAGAGTTGCGTACTAATCGCCTAATTGGGTCGCCTAATTGCATCTCTTACGTAAGGTACGATTTATATTAATGATATCGTAAAAATTTAATTAAAAGTACATTGCTATAGGAAAATATTTAAATATTTTTTAATAAAGCAAAGTTGGCAAAAGTTACAAATCGAGTTACAAATCATAAACAAGAGCAAGGAAGAATGTATATAGAAATATAGCAAATTGTCAAAGTTATATATATTAGAATTTGCTAAATCAATCAGAAATTTGATTTTAAAAACTGCCGAGATTACTATTAATGCAAGAACCTTTTATTTCATTATTGTCCTAAAAAACATGTAGCAAGAATATCTCATTATTTTATACATTTACTAATAAGAATTAAAATCAATTACTCTTGAATTATTTAACACATTTCATTTATTTTTATCAAAACATAAAGAAATATATACTTCTTACTTTAAACACAATCCATGATTCGTGACAGAACTCTGAATAGAAATTTATAATTTTATGTATTGTGTAATGCAGAAAATATTTGAAATATTTAGAATATACATATACAAGATACATATCACCGATCTTTCAAATGTTTTCTGTGTCACGCGGGACATAAAAAATTATAGATTTCTATCTCGAATTTTATCGTGAACTATAAATCTTCCAAAGTGGTCTTTTACTTTACGAAATACATTTCTTTTCTCGGTGCATATATGTTTTTGTATATATAGGACGCAATTACACTTAGCTGACGTAACGCGCGGGACTGTCGATATAATCGCAACAATTCGCTGCATTACTGTGGCACATCTCGCCGAATACCGCGAAAACGGACGAACCGCACTGTACCGTACTAATCTCTCGGCACCTTTCACCGTGCGCGTGTCATCATGGTCCGTCATATTCGGGATTGTAACGCGGCTTGCCTCGCGCTCGCTCGCGAATTGCAATCTAGCGTCCGCAAGCGAATTTTCGCCGCTTTAGCCGCGCGGGAATATAATATTGTGTCCAGGACGCCGGCACGTAGTTCGGCAAGCAGTATACCCAAAGTATTACGTAAGAAATACGGTATATTGCGAAAGAAAAGCTACAATTTCCCCGACGCAAGCATCGCATAATCGCATTTTTATCGACGCCACCGCGAAACATCGAGGAAAATTACGCTCATTCCCATAAAATGTGATTGATCGGCGATTTTAATCTTTTTTTTTCCTTGCGTTCTCTCTGAAAGAAGGAAGCGATGAAGGTGGAATTTATAGAACAGCATACCTCTTGATTAACGACCAGCAGCTACTTATTAGCGGTTGTTACGCTAGACGTTCTTACAGAGAGCGCAGCTAATCCGGCTTATTTATTATGCTAAACTGACAATCGCATAAGCGTAAAGAGATTTTAAAGTTGTTCGCGTCACGGGTAAGCAAGAGTTACGGAGATATTAGTATTAAAAAAATTTAAAAAAAAAAAATTGACCGCTCGACAAGACAAAAATGTAATGTCGAGTCGGCGTTTATCAGAGACATCATTCGTGATCGTCGCGAATGTTTCCGTAAAGCCGACATTGTGCGATCACGCGGTACAGCCGAGAAATCCGGAAACAGTGAAAGTGATCCCTCGCGACCTCCGCGAATGCATTTTCAATGTACCAATGAATTAGCTTGAATGCAACGCCGATCGCGCGCATTCATTGGCAAGTCCGTGGGATGAGATCCGCGGTTGGAAAATCTCCCGCGTTAATTTCTTCCTTATGTCTTTTCCACGTGATGCGAATCCGGCCGCGATTCCTCTCGAGCACACTCGCCGATTTCATTCCGACTTCGGTACGTGCGCATCGCGCATCGCCGGAGAGAGAGAGATTCATTACCCGCGCGAGATTTATTAGCATCCTGACGAGAATAATTGATCGCGAATGCACGTCGCCGGCTGTCTAATTGAAATCACGATACAGACATCTGGGATGCAACGGTAACGATATTAAGCACGGCGTTGCGCGCCAACGTAATACATTAGCGTAAATGTCATGTCGTCATTGCCACGCTGGATTGAGCGTGGTTAATTGTCGCGCGATTATCGATCAAATGGGGCTCTATTCATACGGGCAATCTACTTCTATTCGGCCGAAACAGCTCGCGGACAGGTGTCGATATCGAATACCACTCAGTTTAATAACATAATTATGCACTTTAATCTAATTTAATGGCACGCGTGACACAGTACGGCGAAAAAGATCGACACTAAAAGACTCCTACAACGCGGCCGATCTAAAAAAGGCATTTTGTCATGCAGCCGGGAAGGAGGAGAGGGGGGGGGGGTGGAGGGACTCATGAAGCGCTTTCACGCTCGGATCAAAAGTCCCGTGATCGGCTATCACGAGGGAGAGAGAAAGAGACAATGTCCGAATAACGGCCTCGGATCGGAGTCGTTCGATTTTTGAAGGAGGCCGGCGTCTGACCTTTCGAAAGTGTTTTTCTCCTCTCCCCTCCCCCCCGCCTGTCTACTTACCAGCCTGTCTACCTTCTCTCTTCCTCGTTTAAGTGGAAAGAATAAGAAAAAAAAAGAACAGACTCCTGTGAAAGTTGCCTCCTGGCTACTACGGAGTGCCGTCACGCCGCTTCCCTCTCCGGCTGATCTTACCCTAACTTAGCCCCCCCCCCCCCGCCTTCCCCGCCGACATCTTCTCTATTCCGCGCGCAATGTTTCTCAACGGAAATTTTCGACCCTTGAAATTATCCATGTCGATCATCTCCTCGGCACTTTTCCGTATCGTCGAATGCAAGCGAATTATTCGCGACCTTTAAAGCAAAGTGGTCGACATTATAATTATGTATATTGTAAAAATTTGGCTTGTATCACAAAGGCGGTTTTTTTTTTTTCGCACGTTTGGTCTATTCGAGCTGAAACTCGACGCGGAAAGATGATGGACGGCTGGAATCCACGCAGAACACTTGATTTATTCTCCGTGCCGTGTCGTGAATCCAAAGCGATTTGTATCGTCGTCCTGTTCCCATCGCTACGCGTGTCACGTCTACGTGTGAACCGTGAGAGAGCACAGGTACACGGCGCGCATACACGGAGGATGTCGCGCGAGCGTGCCGACTAGCTTCCCTTTCTTCCTCCTCCATTGGTTTTCTCGTCTTCTCTCCCGTCGTTAAACTCTCGTGTCAATGAGCGGAGATGCCTCGCTTTCGCCCGCCGTCTCATCTCGCCCCTCGGGCGATTTCAAGTAGCGAACAGCTGTTCCGCGCCGCGACGTATACACGCGATGCATGAGCCGCGTACGCGTTTCATTATGCGCGTCTGTCGCTTACGTTCAGGTAAACGATAGTCAAAAGCGCTTTTACCCTCTTTCCAATTATATTCCCGCGAATGCAAAGCGTGTCGCGATGAATGAGTCATCGAATTCAAGCCGTATTTATCCGTTTAATATTTGATTCTAATGCGAGAGAGAGAGAGAGAGAGAGAGAGAGAGAGAGAGAGAGAGAATTATGTATAATCTGCGGTCTGATGCAAGAACAACCAACTTTCTGGTCAAAGTAAGATGCGCCGTATAATAAGTTCTGGCAGATGCGATGTTTTATAGGCGAATTAGAAACTTTTCCGGGAAAATCAATTCTAA